TGTTTAACTATTTCAAAAATTGAAGGAAATATGTGTTCTTTCTCTTGGCGTGAAGCGATGAAGTTTTAGCCTCTGATAGCGAGTCTCATGTTTTGCAGTTTGGTTTGATTAAATATGATTAAAGTTGAATGGTGAAGTGATTGCTCTGATATTAGTTGATAGGGTTCCAACATTATAAGTGTTGGATGGTTGTTATCACATGCCATAACAACCATCCACGGATCCACCATTATAAGTGTTAGATGGTTAGAGAGTTTGATTTGGCTCTGATTCTAAGTTAAAGATGGTGAGATGGTGTTTCTAGGGTTAGTGAGAGCAGAAGTAGAGAAGAAGAAGAGAAGAGAAATAATATAATCGTGGAATAGAAAGCTCAACTTGAGATTCTACACCACTCCAATATTATATAGAAATAGCATGATTACAAAATAGCCCTTAAACCCACAGTAAAGCCTACAGTACATAAGACCCAAACTTTCTAACTATCTAACAACAAGTATAGCTACGATCTATTAACTTCATATTTGTTGGTCTATGTACTAGGTTTGCACATTTAATGTCAAAATCCAATTTGAGCTATCTCATTATAAGCTGTGAGCTCGATATGCATCATATCAGTATTTATAATCATAGTGTATGCTGCTAGTGTCTTTACATTAGTTCTGATTTTGAAAAAAATGTTATTTTGATTTGTCAGAATAGTATGTCTGCTAGTGTCTAAACTCTATATATTTAGCTTCTCAGTGTTTAAACTTGTTTAGTAAAGCTTTCAGTAGTTATATGTGAGCTCATGTCAGCATGTATGAACTAACTGCCACTGAAGGGCATTTTTGTAAATGTGCAGGTATCTCAGGTGCTAGGCACGTGCCCTGTCAGCTCACACAATCCCAGAAGGTTCCTCAGGTTAAACAATTGTCTCAGCAGCCCTTAGCTCAGGTGTTGCAGTTTTTGAAATCTGAGGGTAAACTTGCCTTTTACAGAAGGGCAGCTGGGTGAAGGGTAATGTGATCATTTAAAGCCTACAACGGTCTGATTATCCTCTGCATTAGCATTTGGTCTATATATTGTATTTGCTGCTGCAGAGAGTTGTGTGTATTGAATTTTGAAATTCTGAGAGAAGCTTGAGGAGTGACTGCATCTTTACCGTGTTGAGAGCATTTCTAAAATTCTAGAGAGCTTATTGAAGATATGACAATGCCAAAATACATTGTTGGCGAGGATTGAAGCTCAACAGATTAAACTACAGATTTTAGTCACAGCTACTATCAAGTAGGGCTGCACATGAGCCGAGTCGAGCTTTACCATGTTTGGGCTCGACTCGCAAGTGCCAGGAGCGTGCTCGGGCTCAGTTCGGGATCGGCCGAGCCTGGTGAACCTTGGCTTAAGCTCGGCTCGCCAGAATTTCGGCAAGCTCGGGCTTGGCTCAGCTTGTCTTTTATATATATCTATATATATATATATATATATATATATATATATACAAACAAAGAAAATCTTTAGATATGTAGGCTGTTTTCAATGAATCTATTATGAAATCCATGAATCCATCCCTGCACACTGCATTTCTTTCACTGACCGCCATTCTACGTATCTTCTCTGATCCCATCAGCACTAAAATGATTAGATTGAGACCTCATAAGAGAAAAGAAACCCAAGAAAGAGATTTGAGAGACAAAGATCTATTGATACCGTTACTGATAAGCGAGAGGAAGATGTGTTGAATTGAAAGGGATTAGAGAGCCGTCGAGCCGACCAGTAAGAGAGGAAGAAGATGCTTTGTTGAAACCGAAAGTTGCGAGATCTATTATGGCAGATGTTATCTCAAATGTAATCGATCTGATACATACATACATACATACATAATATATATATATATATATATATATATATATACACGTGATGATAGGGTTAAGTGGAGTTGGGCTTTCAAATAGTTGGGTTTAAGTTGAAAGAATTTGGGCTTAATGAAGATTCAAGTTGGGCTTATGAACACACAGTTTTGGACTGAATTTATATTATATGGGCTAAAAAAATTATATAGAAGATTTTTAAAAAATAAATAAATAAACATTTTACTAAACGAGACTGTTCATGAGCCGAGCTTGGCATTGCTCAAGCTCAGCTCGTTTACTAAGCAAGCCCAAAAAATGTGTTCTAAGTTCAGCTCGTTTACTAAATGAACGAGTCCAAGCCGAGTTTTTAACGAGCCGAGCCCGAACTATTCATGAACAGCTCGGTTCATTTGCAACCATACTGTCAAGACCATGAGGTGAAATCTTTCTTCATGTCTGGTCTTTTGAGTCACTTTCTGGGCTAAGCAAGTCACAAATCTCATTCTAAGCCTAGTCTAGGGCTACACCAGTAAAAGCTAAGGCTGCACCAAAATCTCACCTAGTAGCTAGCCATTAGTGTCTATTTGCTGCTATTAAGCCTCAGATGAAGCTGTCAAGTGTTCCACATACAAATCTGAGTCCCATCTTGATGTGAGCATGTGTAAATCGTCAATGCATAGCTGTTAAAGCCATCATCAAGAAGCAACTGAGGCTGTCTCATGTTCTCACTACTCAAATCAACAAGTGTTGCTGCTCTAACCCTTCAAGCTAGTTGTATTGTGAATCTCATCTTAATCTGCTTGAGTGCTTCATTTATCTTTCTTTGTTGATATTGTGAGTGAAAGTTTAATCACTGGGGTGCTGTGAGTGAAAGTGTGTGTGTGGTGCTCAACTTTACTCATAGTGGAATTTTGAGCTAGGCTTTAATGCCTCGAGGATGTTTCCCCTATTCTAGGGATTTTACCTCATAAATCTGGTCTTGTGATTGCTCTTCATTCTTCATTGGCATTTTAATTTTTAACAAACAGTTGGTGACAACTAGGGTTTTATTTAGGACTTTCATCAAACAACCACACATTGTGTACACAGACCCTAGTTTTGTCAATTCAAGCTTACACACAAGTTATATATTAATTTTAGAAGTCATTAAAAATCAGTTAAGAACAATTCACCTCTTTTTTGGTTCTTCAATATTGTTATTTTGTTCAGATTAAATCTATTTATTTTGTAAGCATTTCTGTATATCTACCCTACAAAGTTAGGGTTAGCAACATTAGCTCCAATTTATCTCAATAAAGGATTGACTAATTTTATTAGAGTTTTTGTAATGTTTTCTTGTCAGATTGATCATATATAGATGCCTTTATATTATGCACAGATATACTATGTTTCTGTAAGATTTGTTTTCTTTCTTAAAGTTGTTTGGATACAGATTTAGTAAGCCATAAGAAATGCATGAATTTTTTATTTTATTTTTTATACAGGGGTCGATTTATCATCTCAATGACAATTTACTATTAAAATTTGGCAACTAGAGGTAGAGAAGAGTTGAAGTTCCTAAGCATGCATATTTTCATAGATCTTGTGTATTTCTGAATCAAATCAGTATAAATTGTGACTAGTGTGCTTATTGCCTAAGTTTTTTTCTCTGCAATAGTTTTCACATGGTATATTATCACTGTCTAAACCTCATAGATGATTTCATGTGGTTTGTGTGTGTCTAATTTCTGTCTTTTGTTTCTAAATAAGTTTGCAGAATTGTTTTTTTAATACAATTCCCTTCTACGATGACTTCTCTATTTTTTAGGAGCAATACTTATAATTTGTGTTAGAACATCGTCTATTTAGGATTTGGCATGACTATATCACGTTATAAAATCCATTTGTAATTTCAGTTGTTGAGGATTTAAGGTTTGATTTTTATTTAGGATTTGGCATGACTATACCAATTTGACGTCGGAAAATTGTGGAGAAATACGAGGTAACACAAGTGAACAAGAAAGATAGAATTTCTCACCACCCAATGGAATGCACCAAAGGGATACAGAGTAAGGATAACAAGAACTCCAAAAGCCAAAGTCTCAAATATCATTCAAATTCATAAAAAAACTCTCTTCTAATACATCAATAGCAGCTTAAATTAAAGTATGGAACAACCCTCCAGCAATCAGTGGATTTCCAAAACAAATTACTCAAAAAACCAAACAAAGAAAATGAAAAGGCATGAGACTTCTTTGACTCACAACTTACCAGACTTAATTAAAGACTTAAGGACTTGAAAGTCCAATGAAGTCCTAAAAATCAGAATAATAAACTTAGAAACAAATCAAAAAGATGGAACCGAGAAGAGAGTAAAAACAACGGGTGTCTAATTTCTAAGTGCAGAATTTTCAGTCGGCAAAAATGCCTTTTACCAAAAAAAGCCATATCTCCTTCTAGGAATGTCCAAATTGTGCACTGTTTTTTGCATTGGAAAGTATACTCCTGGATCTTTCCAACCATAGCTGGCTCTGCAACAATTTTTTTCGGGAGTGTTCTTGGCTGGGCTACAAAGTTGACCCAAATCTTTTTTCCTAGTTGGTATTCACACACACTTACATCCACCGAGGCTCGAACCCCTGACCTCTCTTTGGAAAGTAGAAGCCTGGTACCGGCTATTAGCCTGTTGGTAAGTTGACCCAAATCTGTATTCTATGTTTTCTGAAAAATATAGTCCAAGAGTAACCTTGAGTTGGTTGGGCTTTGGCAAAGGACGCTCCGGAGTCATACTCCCCCGGTTGATGAAAACTCATCCTCGAGTTTGGGAAAAAAAATCATCATAAATCCTGAGAATAATTTTCCTTTCCTTCTTTCTTCGTTTCCGCACTAGAGTAAAAGATATTATTCTTTTTGTACCAACAAATAATACCCTTGCATTATGAAAATGAGTTGTCAATGCTCTCATTTGAAGTTCAACAGATTTGGCAAACTTGATTGAGCACTTATCATGAATTAAAATTTGAATCTTTATTTTTGCTTTCGATGTACTCCGCTTAATTGTATGACGCTCCAAGAACTCTTCCCAAATTATGTCAATAAAGTGAAATTGATGATCTTTCAAATTCTTGCATGCCAACGTAGGAATGTCATCATGAAAACTCACATAAAAATGAATGCATCAAAGGTTAGACTTCAAGCTCCTCCTCTCTCTTTCATTGTTTTTGTGTGGACCACATTTTCACAAAATATTTCATCAAAAATTATTTCACCTTCTTTAAATTCTTCAATAGAGCTGGATGAATCTTCCTTTGGCACCTCTTCTATATGGGTTGCAGTCATATTTCTTAGGTTGACTAAACACTCTCCTTGGTCCACATAGGTGATTTCATCTTCATTTTCCGAATCTTCATTATGGAAAAGTTCTTTTTCGGACTCCTCTTCCACCACCTCTTCAACTAATGCAACTATCTTGCGGTTCGGACACTCGGAGGCTATGTGACCAAATCCTTGGCCTTTAAAACATTGACGGGAACTAGGAATTGTTGAACTAGTCACACCATCATGTTTAGGGGCTGATTTTTGGATTGGTGTTCAAGACATAGGAGAGGACCTTGAACTATAAGAAGTTCCGCTGCTAGAAGAGCCTCCTTGTCTTGAAGATGATCGATAACCATTTCCTTTCCTCTTATGTTGGTGTTCCACCTTGTGTGCAAGCTTACAAACATCATTAAAAAGCCAATAAGGTTGCAATTAGACGATGTCACCAATTTCAGACCGTAGACCCCCAAGGAAACGAGCAATAGTTGTTCTTCCGTCTCGGAAATATCAAACCTTATCATAAGGTGTTCAATTTCATCAATGTAGTCTTCAACCGAAAGATCCCCTTGCTTGAAGTTGTGAAATTGAAGAAAAGAATCTTGTCGGTAATTCTCGATCCGGCAGAAACTCTCTCTTTAATTCTTTCATCATTTTTTCCCATGTTACAGTTCTACTCCTTCCTTAACGAACTAGTCGCTTCTTAAGGTGTTCCCACCAAATGGAGGCATGCTTCTTTAATTTGATGGCCACCAACTTCACTCTACGGTGCTCCAGAATGTCTTTGAAATAAAAAAAACTCTTCATTGGAGCCAATCAATGAATTCATCTGGATATTGTCTTCCTTAAAACTCTGAAATTTCAACTTTTTATGTCATAATCTCGTTGGAAACCATAGTTCCTTTGAGCATGATGACGGGGAGAAGCCTCTTCGCTCGATGAAACATTTTGTGAATGGTTGAATGGGTTAACCTCCTCCTCTTCATCATTTTATGCGGCATGTTCTGAACCATGACAAAATTAATCATATCCCAGATATCCGATCGACTCCAAAGACGTTCAAGTCCAGTTCCAACACGCCTGCTACCTATTGTACTGGAGTAATGCCTGCAAGGTAAGGCTTAACGGTCAACACCACAGGAGGACCATCGAGCTATTGGGGCGAGGACAGACAAAGTTCTTAAGCTCTGAGGCGGAAATGAAAAGAAAGACGAAGCGATCCAGCGGCTCATGAGAGAGTATTTTGGTCACTAGAATGAACTATAAGGGTTCGCAACGCTGCTGGAGTTGCTGCAGTTGTCTTCTTAATTAGATCATCCATCTCAAAGTTCTTTAGGTCTCTTTCACGAGCTGCCGGTTCTTGATTGTTTGGCCTACAAGGCTACAACGACGAGGACCAGCCATCTGAAAGCAAAGCTCTGATACCAATTTGACGCCTGAAAATTATGGAAAAATAGGAGGTAACACAAGTGAACAAGAAAGAAAGAATTACTCACCATCCAATGGAATCCACCAAAGGGATACAGTGTAAGGATAACAAGAAGAACTCCTTCTACCATTCAAAAAAAAAAAAAAAGAAGAACTCCTTCTTATTAAAAGCCAAAGGCTCAAATATTATTCAAATTCATCAAAAACTCCTAATAATACATCAATAGCAGCTTAAATAGAAGTATGGAACAACCCTCCAGCAATAGGTAGTTTACCAAAAAAACTACTCAAATAACCGGGCAAAGAAAATGAAAAGCAATAAAATTTCATTGACTCACAACTTACTTACACTTAATTAAAGATTTAAGGACTTGAAACTCCATCAAAATAAGTCCTAAAAATTATAATAATAGACTTGGAAACTAATCAAAAAGAGCTGGAACTGAGAAGAAAGTCAAAACAGCCCAACAAGTGTCTAATTCCCAAGTGCTGAATTTTCAGTCAGCAAAAATGCCTTGTACAAAAAAAGCCGTAACTCTTTCTAGGAATGTCCAAATTGTGTACCGTTTTTTGCATTGGCAAGTAGACTTCTATATCTTTTCACCCATAGTTGGCTCCGCAAAAAATTCTTTCGGGAGTGTTCTCGGCTGTATTTCAAAGTTGGCCCAAATCTGCATTCTGCGTTTTCTGAAAAACATAGTCCAAGTAACTTTGAGTTGCTTGGGCTTTGGCTCCGGTGTCACAATTAAGGATGTCAATTTGTCAAAGAAGATAATTAATGACTTTTCCTAAGTTGTTGTTTAGGAGGAAAGATTATGGATTCAATCAGCATAGGAAAAATAAAATAAAAAATAAGGTACAATACAAGATAAAAATGTCCCAACAACCAAAACTGAGAAAAAACTAAAAAAGCCTACTAACTAGATAGGCAACAACACAAAACAAAAAAAGTGAACCATACATCTTCACAAGCGCTATACACAACACCAATTTGTGGAAATAAAATACTAAACATGAGCACTTGCATGTTAGAACATTAATGTCATGTGCAGGGCAAGATTAGAAACACACATCCTCAACCTCAGTTGTGAAGCAGTTGCAGTTTGATTTTATCCAGTTTAGCCACCACTTCTTTTATGTCACTCCTCTCTTCTGGTAGTTCTCTACAACACTCCAACCCTAGTTCAATGATAGCAATGAAAATATCTTGTGTGGAACTCATTTCATCTTCTCCTACTATCAACAAACCTCTGTCAATGATTTCACTTAGTTTGTGGGGAAGTGATGCACTCACCCATTGCCTCAGATTTAGTTCTTCACCGAAGATTTCATTTCTGGGGTTTTTTCCAGTGAATGTCTCCAGCAACATTATTCCATAGCTATAGATATCACTTTTAATAGAAACTCTTCCTTCCGAACCATACTCTGTCAAACATTCATTTTGTTCAAGCTTGGTCAAAATTCATATCGTCATTGTTTATCATATATTGCTAATCCATAAGTACACAAAAAAGAAATACACTAAACAAATAATTTGTAACTAATTATCATTGGATGCAACTATATCAAGGATAAATTTTTTCAAAAGCAATGGATAATAATAATAAGGTAGTAATGGTCTGAGTTTCCATACATATAAAATTTGATATGCTAACAATTTTGAATAAATAAAGGTTGAAAAGATTTACCTGGTGCAATGTAGCCAACTGTACCTAAAGTCTCTGTTTGTGTTGCAGTCTTATTTTCAGCTAATATCTTTGCAATGCCAAAATCACCCACATGTGCGACCATGTCTTCATCTAAAAGGACGTTGCTAGGCTTCAAATCACAATGGACAATAGGCTCTAACTGACCTTGATGGAGATAATCTAAAGCAAAAGCAACGTCAAGCATAATGCTGACTCTTTGAAGGAGATTTAAGCAGTAGTTGTGAGAATATAACCACTTCTCTAGACTTCCATTAGGCATATATTGCAAAACCAAAGCTCTTAACTCAGTGTTAGAGCATGTACTTATGACCTTAACAAAATTCCGATGCCTAACTGTTCGCAGCACTTTGCATTCTGCTTCAAAACTTTTGGAAGCTTCCTCAAGTTGCAAGTTCAGAATTTTCACAGCAACATTTGTTCCGTCAGAAAGTATTCCTTTATACACGGCACCAAAACCTCCTACCCCAATCAGGTTGGTTTCACAGAAGTTATTTGTAGCATTACAAAGCTCTTGATATGAAAACAACCTATGCTCCATTCCGTCTAACAAATTATGGGTAGAACTTTGAGCTTGTGTTCTATTTCCATAATATTTTCTGAGCATCTTATACAATAGAGCAATGAAGATTGCCACTGATGCAACAATGGCTGGAAGAACATATTTGTAAGGAAAGTGTTTAGTTCTTGAACCTGAGCATGGCGGAACTTGTAAAGTTGGTTGCCCACAAAGTGCTTCATTCTTTATAAAAGATTCCACTGTAAAATTTGCAAAAGGACCTCCATTTGGAATCTCCCCAGATAGCTTATTGTAAGAGAGATTTAAACATTTGAGATGTGAAAGTGCCTCTAGGGACTTGGGTATAGAACCAGATAGGTTGTTGTGGGAGAGGTCCATGAAATCCAGTGTTATCAAGTTACCAAAGGATTCAGGTATGGTTCCCGAAAATGAATTTTTAGTCAAGTTGATAGAACTTAGACTTTCAAAGGCTCCCAAAGTGCTTGGAATGTTACCTGAGATTTGGTTCCAAGACAAATCTATGGCTTCAAGTGATTTCAGTGCTCTGATGTTGGGATCTAGAGTAGTTAATGAATTGAATGACAAATTCAAGAACCACATATTATCCAAGCTCCATAAACTCAATGGTATTGACGAGTTCAATGAATTTGACTGCAATGATAGCGTCCGCAACCCACTAACATTTCCGATGCATGCAGGGATTGATCCGGAGAGGTTATTGTTGTGGAGTCTAATATCTCCCAAGTTGCGCAAACTGCAAATCTCCTTTGGAATGGCTCCTTCAAGCCTGTTACTATCAAGGCACAACCTTTGAAGCTCTTTCATGCCCTCGATTGTAGACGGAATTGATCCGTTGAAATTGTTGCAACTCAAGATAAGATAATTCAAGTTTGTAAAGGAACCTATTCCTTCAGGAATTCGACCCATTAGTTGGCAATTAGATGCACGAAACCTGAGAAGAGAAGTAGAAAGATTTCCAAAAGAATCTGGTAAGATGCCGTGAAATGGATTATTACTTATATCTAATATTTCCAAGGATTTCAAGCTTGTCAAAGAAGTGAGAAAACTAAGTTCATGACTTCTTGGTTCTATAGTTAACTGGTTATCATGTAGATCAAGTAGTGTGAGTGATTCTAAGCAGCCTAGACTTGTGGGTACTGTTCCAGTGAATTGGTTGCTACTTAGATGTAATGCAGTGAGCATAGAAAAATTGGACAGATAGGAAGGGATGTTTCCACTGAGTTGATTAACTCCAAGGCTGAGAATTTTAAGATTAGAAAGCTGAGTAGAACTGGTCAAGGGAAGATTTCCGGATAGGTCATTAAAATCTAAATGAATTCGTTGTATAGATGAGATGTTGAATAAAAATGGAGGAATTGACCCGGTGAGATCATTCCCACCAAAATTAATTACTTCCAAACATGGAACATTACGTATCTCGTTAGGAATATTGCCATGAAAATTGTTTGATTCCAAACCAAGCCGCTTTAAGCCTGACATGTTACCAAAGAAAGATGGAATAGTGCCATGAAACTTGTTTCGTCCTAGATAAAGCTCACTGAGACTGGACAAGGTACTCAATTCTTTGGGTATGCTGCTTGTAAATTCATTTCTAGACAAAGATATGTATTGAAGCTGTCGGCAGTGGTGTATACTTGCAGGGATCACCCCTTCTAAGTAGTTAAAACGTAAAATGAGTACCTTCAAGCGACGCAAATGACTGATCTCGTGAATAAGTTGACCACGGAAATTGTTATCACCAAGATTTAGCATCTTGAGAAAGGAGAGGTTGCCCACATGAGGGGAGATGGTGCCGTGGAGTCCAATGCGAATAAGCTTCAAAGATGTGACTCTCTGCCCGTGTCGACGGCTACATGAGACACCAACCCATTGGCAAAAGTTGGTTTGTTGAGTCCAGTTACTCCCCAAAACGTTGTTTGGGTCCAACGTGACTGCGGACTTGAACGCAAGAAGAGCCGATTCATCGGTGTAGTTTGATGAAAACAGGGCACGACAAACCATGCATGACAAACACAGTTGCTGAAGCACTATTAGCAGCAAGGCAATGCCAAACCTCCCCATCGATCGTCCCCCAAGGAGGTTCTAAACATACACAGTGACGAGTGCTTTAGAAAGAAAGAAAGAGAGAGGTTCTAAACACACAGAGTACGTGAGTGCTTCAGTAAAATGTATATCTTGATCAACTGCATTATAACAGCAGCATATTTATATAGTGCACAACACGTGTTGCATGAATGAAATCTAGAAAAAGAAAAAACGTGAAATGTAGGATACACTAAATAAAGAGAAGAAGATGACCTGACCATACCCTACTATATTTATTTATTTAAGTAAACATCATTAAAGCTATGTTTGGGAGTTCTGAATTAACATCTCGAATTTGAAAAATTAAAGAATATTTGATTCAAAATTTAAATTAAATTTTCATTAATTTCAAAATCAAAGCGTCCATTCGATGCTCCAAAAATATAACATTATAACAATAGGAAACAGTTTATTTTTATAAAAAAATGGATAGAATTTACTGTCATGATTATCTGCAAGTCATTTTATTTTTTGAAATGTTACTTGAAGAAGGAACGTACCGTGATGCACGGCAATAGAACAAATTAATAAATAAATGGCAACCAAATCAAACGGCTGCTACAGGAGCTGTTCTTGTCAAGTCTTTAAAGAAAGAAAAGGTGCTGGTTCATTTTATATATACTTGTTGGTCGGGTAAAATGTCAAGTCTTTAAAGAAAGGGTGATGATGACCCTGTCCAAATACTTGTTTGTCGGGTAAATTGTGTAAGCAACACCATCAAAGGGGCGCGAATCCTATGAAGTGACTTATGAAGCCGAAACCTTTCGGTTATCTCCAAAAAGTACACTAATTTTGGCTATCTCCAAAATGTACACTAACTTCTCCCGTTAACGTTAACACTCAGAATTTAATTTTAAATTTATATTATTGTATCTATATGAATTTGAAAAAATTATAAGAATTTGGCGATAAACAATTTCTTTTTCTCAGCTGGAAGGAATTCGTCAAAAGAGAGCAGCAGAAACGGCCTCCTGTGGGCCAGATTTGAACACTGCTTCAAACTCTAATGGACTTCTTGGCATTTTCTTCACTTCCCATGCCTACATACATACTATTGTTCTATACCATGTATCTATAGTTATAGTAGTTTTTATCTTCACTAAGTTCTAAAATCATATACAATTGTTTTTTCTGTGTCAACCAATTTGCAATTCTGTGAGAATTATCACAACCTGTTTGTCTCACAGTAAGTGCAATAATGATTCAGAGGAGTGTCTGCAGCCTTGGCAGTTTGATCCAATCTTCAACTATTCCTTCTCTATAAAAAGGTCGATTTTAACCATTTTTTAAAATTTGATTAGATTTTGCTAAGTTAATATGAGTTATAGTATACATATATGATCAAGGTGTTTACCCACTTGGTGTATGCTGCAATACTTCAACCGATTACTTTTTTATTTTTATTTTTATTTATTTTTATTATCAAATTAATTGGTTTTAAGCTTTTCTTTTTTTAGATATGCAAGGTACCATATTACGAGCATGTTTGTGCTTTCATCACAAATTTCCTCCCTTTTCATGCTTTTTATTATTCAGATGACCACCAATATACACTCAATTCTTTAGTGTTTTTTTTTATATTATGGGTAAAGTACACTAACACCCCTGAAGTTTGGTAAAAGGACACTCAAATGAAACTTAGCCTATTTTGGGACAAAGACACCCCCTTATCAAATTTATAATTCAAACAGAGCCTAAAATCCCGTCAAAAGTCAATTTTACCCTTCACTATTTAATTAATTATAATTATAAAATATCAAAATAATTAAATGACTAAATTATTCTTGGCCCCTCTCTCTAAAATACCATGTGTTTCTCTCTCTATACATAGCCACAACCACAGCCACAGCAAAGAAAGAAAACAAACCAAGAAAGAACAACACAACAAATTTCTTCAGCATATATATATGAAACGAGCGGTAAATATATATGAACACAAAAAAAGAAAATTGGGTATGGCTTTTGGGTGTTAATTTTCAGGTGGGATGGTGTTGAAACGAGTGGTGGTCAGTGATGGTGGTCTGGTGATGATGATGGTATATAGGGGTGTGGGTGCGAAGCCGATTGTGTGGCGGTGGTGGTGGGTGTTGTTGCGGCGGTGGCTACAGTGGGTATTGAAGGAAGAAGACGATTATGGGAGCGTGAAGTTCACGCGACTTGCAGATTTGAAAACCACCGTCACTGCCTCTATTGCAACCATCGCCGCTGCCTCTGCCACCGTCGACATCATCATCATTTAATTCACTAGTGTTATTCTCCTTGACGATAACTCGCCGCCGCCCATCGCCGCCTTATGTGTGTGGAAATTATATATGTGTATATATATGTGTGGATATATATATATGTGTGTGTGTGTGTCTATATGTGTGGATATATATATATGTGTGTGTGTGTGTGTGTGTGTGTGTGTGTGTGTGTGTGTGTGTGTGTGTTTGTGTTTATATGTGTGTTGGTGTTGCAAGAGGAGAGAACCGAGAGAGGAGAGAGAAGGAAAGAAATAGATTAGGAAGGTTAGAAAGGTCATTTTAACATTCAAATTAGTCAATTTAAAAGTCAAAGGGCAAAAATGTCAATTCATTACCATTGGGGTGTCTTTGGTAAGTGTATCAAACTTGAGGGGGTGTCTTTGTTCCAAAATAGGCTAAGTTTCATCTGTGTGTCCTTTTGACAAACCTCAGGGGGTGTCAGTGTACTTTACCCTTATACTATTATTTACTTGAAGTTTTTGTTAATTTATCTTTTTATATAGGTATAAAACTTGTGAGAGTTGAAGAATAGATCAAGGGAAGTGGATGCTTTGTTTGGTGGCAAGCTTGGACTAATGGAGAATGGAGTGGCGTTACCTTTTTCTTTTTATTATTATTATTATTTTTCCCCCTTGAATGAATGGGATTTTGTGGATTTTCAAAAACTGATGGATTTTAATTAATTGTTAGATGGTTGGTTTGAATAGTTTGTGTTGTATCTGGGATTAATCTTGTGTTGTATTTAGGGTTAATATTTTGTTTGGTTTGAATAGTTTGTGTCATATTATTTTGGAACTAGTGTAAGCAACATCAAATGCATCAAGTAATTAATTACAACATACAAGTAAGCTATTTACAACCACACTTGCTTACAACCCTTCTTATATAGTGGAGTTAATATTGGTTAGCTCAAAATATTGATTTTCATCTTTGAGTGCAACCATGATTTTCTTAAAAGTCACTATTTTTACTCAAAACCATGATTTTCATAACAACGTTTTTTTTTTTTTTTTTTTTTTTTTTTTTTTTTTCACCTCAAACCCAAGATTTTCAATCATTATTCTTTACTTCAAAACCAACATTTTCATAAGATCACTATGAAAGAGAAGTGACATATCAAACTCAGTTGATGTTAGTTATAAATTTGGGTGAAAGAACATAATAACAAGGGGTGAAAGAACATACAAAAATTTGTTGTAATAACACAAACTCGGGGTCCGAAACACTAACCGGGTCCTAACCCGAACCCGATGACACGCTAGAATAAAATGGTAATTTTACATTAAGTACCCTAAGATTGTCAAATAAGGTTTATACAATCTATCTTAGTCATTTCATAACATTCTAAGTGGTTCTAAGGGCATTAGTCATGGTTTATCCAAAAGTACCCCTACTTGGTTCAACATAAATCCCGACACTATCTCACTAAAACACACATATCTTTTAGTATAATTGCAATATGAAGATGAGGTTGGTGTCATTGGAAAGATGACTCAAAATGCGTCAATTTGAACTGAAGAATGACCCCATTTAGATTTTAAATGAAGACGTTATGACTGCTCGAAGTTAAGGGTCCAAAGTTGGAACTTGCCAAGACAAAATGGTTCTAGGGAATTTTGAACCAGTTCAGGGAACTTGAACCGGTTCAATATGGGCAGTATGCCCACTTTGGGAACCAAATTTCACTCTTAAATCGGTTCAAGGGGGTTGATCCAGTTTAACATGGTTAGAATGATGAAAATAGCTTAGAAAAGCCTAAATCGAGTACAAAGGGTTATGGGCACCACTTAGATCCCATAGGAGATCATTATGGTGCTTTCCATCCTGCCTAAACCTGATATATAAGATTATAAATGATGAAAAAATGGAATCCATACATCATTTGAAGTCTAAAATAGGTCCGATTACATTTAATAATGGCCATAAGGTAGGGCTGCAACTCGGGCGAGTTTGAGGTATAACTTGAGCCCAACCCACCATAACCCTATCCTCAAAACCCTAACTACTTAATCCGAGTCCAACCCATCATTCTACTTTTAAATTCAGGCTTGCAACTCGAGCTTAGATTTCGTATTAAAACTTCGATTAATTCGGATCACTCATATGACTAATCTTTACACCGAAAATTTAGTATGATCTTGAATTAGTTTTAGATTAAGTTACCCTTAAAAAAAAAAAAAAAAATCAAAGACTTTTTATAGATTTTTAATAAATTACAAACAATAAGTTAAGATTTAATAGAGGAAGTTGAAAAGAAAAAAGGTAATCATAGTTTAAATAATATATAATGTATTTTAAAGTAAAAATATATATAAAAATAATATTATAATTCGGGTTCAGGTTAGCTTGGGTTGCTAGCACTTCAACCCAAGCCCAACCCTAATTCAATTCGGGTTGATATTTTTCAACCTAAGCCCAACCCTAATTGTAAAAATGATTACCCAAGCCCGTAAAAAATCAGGCTAGGCTCGGGTTGGGTTCGGGTTTCCCAACCCAAGTTGCACCCCTACTATAACGCCTTACATGAGATTAAAAATCCTAATGAGACCACAAAAGAAAAAAGGATGGTCTCAAACCTATTTCCATCCGCAAGATAAATACAAGTAGCAATCATAATACATGCTAGTAGAAAAATGAATACATGTTTCATTACAATTCCCCAAAACGTCAAATGTTACATGGTTCAAAAGAGACTAAACATCTAGTCTGTAATAACCCAAACCGGAGAGT